CATTAATTAAACTTATAAATTATTATTTTACTATATTAAAAAAAATATAAAAAAGACAGTATTTTAAAATTGTATTCAAGAGGAACAATAACTCGGTAAATAAGTGTGAAACTGAATTTGGAGATTTTAATAAATCTCTCTAATTCCTACTAAATTACAGACCAGGACTTTGAAAAATGAAGCTACTTAACCAAGATGAGAACATTTCTTTCTTTGCTTAAGACTTACAGAATTTGTTATTAACCATTATAGATTAAAAACTATTCATCTTTTTTAAATAAGATAATATAAATAAAAAAATAAGATCAATCGATTGTCACACCGATACATTATTGGTAAATATTTTAATATAAATTTATCTTACAGATTTCTTATTATGTGATAGATAATAATTAAATACACGTACATAGAATATTTTATTTTAAATCATTTCGTTTGATAGAACTGTCTTTAGCAGACTCTCATTTCCACATCCCATAAACACGATTATTGCAATCTATTTGGAAGCGTCGTCGAAAATAAAAATATAAAATCTGTCATAGACATGCTCATCTTGTCTGCGCGTAGTAAAAAAACACTCAGAACGTCGGATTCATAAAATTATTGAAATTTTAAAAAATCTTGACGGAACGAAAAGGAATTTTAATCTCTACGTAATTTTACTGTATTAAGAAAAAGGAAAACTTTCATAGTTCTTGAAAATATAACAAAAAATATCAGATCAATTTATCAACTAGTATGTTAAAATTTTTGATATTATTACTATTGAAAATTAGTGAATGTTTTTTTATTGATAGTATTAAAATATTAATATCAGTTTCTTTAAAGTTTTAAGTACTTTTCAATGATGGAGGTCACTCACGATGAAGTTCAATTAAAATCTTTATTCCAGATATTCCATATTATCAGATTATGAGACGGTTAACAATAAAATAAAGTCCTTTTTAAAAAAGGTTTCCACCTCGATGCTTTTTTAATAAAAATTTAGCAGACAATTATACCCAATATTTGATTATAAATAAATCTATGATTATTTATAATCTATTTAAAATATCTTAAATTATTACTTTAATTTCTGTTACAATTTATCAAAATACTATCATATTACAACTTGTACCATAATTATAATACGTCATATATACTGTTTACTTATAAAGTTCATATTTATTTACTCTGGTTGTTTCTTTTACCAAAATTATGATAAGGGTACATACAGATGATTTTATATATTAAATTATATCCAAAATAAATCTATTTTATTTTTATTAATAGTTGAAATAAAGTAAAAACCATTGGAATTTATTGTGTTAAAATGTTGTAACGCATTCGGAATAAAATAATTAATATTTATTTTTATATTAGGTTTAAACATAATCATTGTAAATGTAAATGCATCTTCTGAAATTATTTCGTCCATATTTTTTTTATAAGCAACGGGATATAAAAAAGCACTCGTTTGAATTTTTAAATAAAGTTCTAAATCTGTATACCACAATAAGCGCTATTCATGCGATGTGGCTCTCATTGTGTTCATAAAAGGCGCTTTGTTTCAACTTAATGCTATGTAACTTATTTGATTTAGAGAACATAGTATGAAAATAAAAAATATTTTTTGAGAGATTCTCATATATATATATACATTTATATTTAAAACATTCTCATATATATTCATTTATTTCGTATTGTAACAAGTGGTACTCGAAACTCGACATTCACACATTTTGACAATTATCTGATGTTAATTGGAAATGTAATTAATTTTTAACATGAAATAACACTGATCTCTCCTCTTCAAACATCAAATTTAGATCGATATAACTTTCATAAAATGTTATTAACGTAACTTTTTATATTATATTAATATATTTTTTATTAAATTAACACACATTCACACAACCAATGTATGTATTTAATTGGTTTATTTCATCATCAAAACTAATTATCCCTTTTTATCTACTGAAATTACTTATCTATATTAACTCTTTCTTATTCAATATTTATTTTAACTTATTCATGATTAACATAACAATACATTTTAAATGAAGAGTAATTTTAATAGAATAAGCGAACGGCCAGTACGCGATTTCAAGAGAGGTATACGAATCCTCCAAGCGTCGATTACTTTTATTTTATATCATTTATGACTACTTTGTCCACAGCTTCGATTGTTTTATATAATACACCTTCATTTATTAACTTTTCTCTTTATCCAGATAAATTTTATTGCATTTTAAATTTATCTTAGATTAAGAGTCGTATATAATTTTATTTCGTAAGCACTTTTCGTTTGAAACAAAAAGTAGTGAAGCCATGTCTGAATTTAAATGCAGTAAATAAATACCAATTACATATATCCATATTTTATGAGCTACTTTAGTGTGCATCTTACAAGATATAATTTACTATAAAGAAACTTCAGAACGTACTATCAATTATATATTCCAGATTTAAATAATTTTGTTGACATAAAATGAAAACAAAAATATTAAAATAAAACTTTTCTATGCACAAAAGTATGATATATTTTAATTTTATTATTTACTAACATAAAAGCTTTTAAAGGATTCTGTCAAACACAAAATGATAACACTCTGGTTATAACTTTGTATAGGATAGTTTAATAACAATGTGACATATAAGTAATAGTGATGCTGCTCGTGACGATAATCTTTTTGAAATTTTATTTATTCAGAACACTTAAATTCTAGAAAAAAAATGCCTTTAAAATTGTAGGTGAGCTACAAATGTTTAAAACAAACACATAAATCATAAGGCAAAAGCATCCTTTATATATAATATAAGTATACAAAATACTCTTTTATAGCGTCGTTCTACTACGAGGGAGATTACGAAACTTTATTGTTACACATATTCAAATACAAACTTAGTTGTTTTGAAAACCATGAGAGATACTTAAAGTAAAATGTTAAATAATATTCAAAGCCTATATTTTCAAATTAACAAAGAACTAATGAATATTAATCTTGAATTACAAGCTCTTTAATGGGGAGACAGAAACACCCTGAAGTGCGGGTCGGATCAGGGTCGCTGCATACCCCGTGCCAGTGACACACAAAACTCGACTCTTAATTTAGATAAATGGTAATACTATTCGTCAGGACGATTATATCACCATCAGCATCAGCATCCTTCTATGATTATTTCAACTCAAGGAGGGTACCACATGCGCAACACCATGTAGCAAGGGTCCATGGGCGATGGTAACTAATACCCATCAGGACAGCCCTCTGCTCGCTTGCCCCCTTTACTAATGTTATTTACTACACTTTTATAATATACAAAAGATATCACTTACCATTCTTTATCAACTTCAATTTACTTTTAAATTATTAAACCAAGAATCTTGAATCTAAATTTACTTGATTCCAAATATTATAATTTATTTATGTTTTTACTATTCAAAATAATCATAAACCAAGGTCCCTTATTTAGATGAATTATATAAGATTTAAATGCTTCTTACTAGTGACTTCTTTAATCATTCATTTCTCTCTACAGTTTCATACTTAAAGAATCCAACTTATAAATAATTTGCATTAGATACTTATTCTATTCCACTTTGTTCTATAACAACAATTTAGTCTTCGCTCGTTAAAAACTTAATTTAATTAGTAACTTGTGATTAGCCTTATAACCTTTATAGCACTATATATTTTATCATGTGTTTTGTATAACATTTCGTTCTATATTAAGAAAACTATTATTAAATCCTGTGAATGAAATACATTTTTTTGACACTTCTTGTAATATAGATGCAATACTAAAGTATAATAATTTAAATACAATCATTCCTATAAATATTCTCATTTAAAAACAATACGACTGACAAAAATGTCTCGGAAAGATTCATTTCGTTTTTCCTTACAGAAGATTATTGAAATTTGGAAGCAACAGATGAAAATAGAACATGAAATCTGTCACAAACATTCACATCTCATCTCTGAAAGGATTACAAAACTACAGTATTTCATTCATGATATAATGACTGCAAACTAGAATAGTCGTAAAAAAACAATTCCTTCTTAATGTTTACGACATTTTGTAAAATTAAAAATATTAAAATAATACATTCTTTTTATCTTTATCAATCAAAATTAAATCTTAAATCAAATAAAATTTTAGTAAATCTTTTTCATTATTCCGAATTATAAACATTATTGCCTATAGACAAAATAGTATCTGGATAGTAATTTAAACACTTAAACTGCGTAATAAGACTTAAAAATCAAATGTATACTATTTTTGTGCTTGTAGAAAATTATGGAAGATAAAAATAAGTTACATTGTTCATGTTCACTGTAAATGGAAATCCGTGAAAGCACATTTTGATAGCATTTTTTATAAGAGTAAATTGGATCACAAAATAAAAATTTATAATATTTTATTATTGCTAAACCAAAGTATGAACGATAAGTAAAAACAAATGTATTACATTTAAAATACAGTTTAAAGTTATGTTATAAAATGAAAAAGGCCATATTGTGTTCTAAGAAAGCTCTTTGTTCCAGCTTAATATTACGTGGAGCGGTTAAATATTACACGTTACATGACAATGGATGATATTATTTAATTACTAAATAGTGTAAATGTTATTAAATTTCATCAATTTATTTCAACTAATGTTTGAATAATGATGCAAATATCTTGAACTTGCAACTCAAGACACATTCTTTAATAAACTATTTACTATATAAACTATATGACCATTGATAATAAATTGAAAACTACATACAATTTATTTTATTATAACCTTAAAATATTTTCGTCATTGCTTGACCTTAAAGGCCTTCAAAATCAGACTGAAGTTTCAAAGGTAACAAACTTCTGTAAGTAAGTTGTATGAGAATCAAAGTGCCAACAGCATAGCTACGTTTATGACATTTATTGCAAATAAAAATAAAGTTTATAACTGATTTTCATATAACAAGTATGATATAAAAGATATTTGTCTATAATTGAGGTAGAATTCTTTCTTTAATTCAGTTCTCCATACATGCATCTGTTATAAGTATCCGTCCGTCCAAGTCCTTCATGATCGGCGACTGATGTCTCACGTACTGTAACAGTATGTCGTAATCAACACCCAACACTTCTACGTTCTGACGATTATTTGATATCATCTGTAAGAAAAATATTATTATATCATAAATCTATCAAACAACAAAACATACATTTATATACATTAGTAAAAATAACATTTACTTAATTAGTGACGGATATATACTAATAGAAGTTTCACCAAGTTTTATTTGTATAAAAAAATTATCAACAAAAAAGATTTTATTAAGTCCAGTGCTCATAAATATTTTTTTTACGGTTAATAGTTAACCGAGCAATATCTTCAACTTAGCCCGCTTTAAAGCAAACGCTAAACCGTAGTTTAACTTGTTTAATTTCATTGCAACATTTACTTTCGTACTTTAAATTATTATTCATATAACTCAATATCGCTAATTAGTTAAGGAATGTGATTAAATTTTAAACTTATTTTATTTCATTTTATTTATTAAAAAAAATATTTTTTTTCAGTATCATTTAAAGTTTATTTTTAAAAAAACTCAGGATAACACAAATAATATTATGTTAAAGATATTTCTCTTTATTTGGATGACCAAACTATAAAGTTTCTTTCAGTTCCCTTATGCAAACGAAGATTTTATCATATTCAGTTACTATATTTTTTTAACGATTAAGTCTAAATAAAATCCTCCTATATTACTTTATGTAAACTGAATCTTTTATAATCCAAATAATCCGTCTTAACAAACTATTATATAGTTTCCAAAGAAACTGGCATTGCGTAAAAATATATCGTCAACTTAAAACTGTAAAGAATATTTTATAAAGAGCCTAAAGGGTAACTCACACTAAATCCATCGCCACCACCTCCGATGAAAGATTGTGAAACGATTTTGTAATATTTGTTCAGATCCAGAGGTTCGTATCTTGGTATATCACAATAATTGCACCTTATTGTAGCGTTTACAACTCTATTATTCACGGGTCGGGCGCCATCAAATATAACTCGCATCCCTGACACAAAATTGCAATGTATGAGACGAAACCTCTTATCATTCAATGGACACATCGCGCGGGTGCCGAGTCCATCGTTGTAGGGTTAAGACCCAGTTTCACCAATCAATGTTAAATAAGTAACGTGTTAAGGCGTTTGATGCTCTGTTAGATGTATCGAGCGTCCCACCACGCACAAATGTCCGTTTAAATGCCTTAACCAGCCACTAATATTAATTCCTGCTCTGGAGCTCCGTCTAATGGCTAGCAGAATGTTAATGGCATTATCAAAACTAAATTGTCCAATCACAGCCCTGATTTCTTGTAACCATATTAACGTGATCTGTTTTGTCAGTTTCGACTATTTTCTTGTTATTATTAATAAAGTGAATTAAAATTTCATTTAGTATGATGATTTTGCCTCCAGCTTTTCTATGACATTGCAAATTAAGTTTTCTTTTTATTTCTTATTGTTATTTGAACACAAATCATGTCTATATAATATATAACACAATTTATTAACACCACAATTTTGACAAGTAACACCTACTAAATTGAAAAGAAAGCTTTTTGTGTGCTAAATGTATGCAACCAACGATATATAAAATTTGGTCGCATTAGCTTACAAGTGACGTATCGAGGGATATATACGATCAAAGTATAAAGTGGTGCATCGTGGCAAACGTGCCGTGTTAAACGCTATAGTTTCCACTTGGTCGTCTTATAACAAGAACGAATAATTTGGTAGTCGATCATTTGACATGACGTTTAATAATGCGTTGTTAATTTGTAGTGGGACCTAAATATTTTAACAAACATTTATAATTTTGAAGGTTGGTTTGTAAATGCTGTGATTAGACTAAACAAACATTAATTGGTGAAACTGGATCTAAAGGTCCTTTATCTCACGCGCTTTAAACCCTCACCTCCACTATCCAAGCTCCTACTTCTACCTTTTTTTTTTTTTTCGGGGAGAAATCCGCTTACAGACTACCCACTGCCCTGGCTCGACAGTGGGACTTGTGTGGGGGTCGCCCAGAGCCTGATGTTGTTGGCCCTGGGAATACCCACTAAAACTCCCCGGCTTCCCTTCCTGCCATCATTTGGGGGCGATTTGGGACCTGCTATTGCAATTCACCAATTCACCCCCGAAGCTCCTACTTCTACCTAACCAAATTTAAAAAGATATTGACGTCACAAAAGTGATTTTCCAGTCACAGTAACATAGAAAATTTATAAATAAGTTTAATGAATAAAAAATAAATGTAAAATGATATTTCGTTGGTCTTATTTGTGATATTCATACGCACCTGATACCTGAACCATCATGGCTCCAGGCCACGGGTCATTAGCCACAGCATACTCCAACATTTCCTTGACATGATCACCCCTTAGATCAAATATTTCTACATTATTCTCAAACGGAGTTGAGAGAAGTATCCCTTCAAATGTCACATCTGAAATAGATATTTATTTAGCAATGATTTTGAAGTGAGAAATATGAGGAAAATTGATAAAGAAAAATATTTACTTCCACTTTCGACGTCGGAACGTATACCACCAGTGTTAACGAAGCAAAAGTTTGCCTCGTTCCACTTATTGTTTCCTGATTTTACAACAGTCTGAAATAATTAGACTTTATTTATAAATAATTAAATTTTTAATTAAGTTTACATATCAATAAGCATTAAAAACGGTATAAAAAACTGCGGAAACATAATAGTCGAATAATAATTAAATAAATTATATTGAATGTCTTTAAAAAAATGTTTACACATTATAACAATTAAATAAAACAGGAAAAACAAAAAAAATTATAATATATAATACAAATGTAAGTTAAATTATTATTATTCTCCTTTTTAGCTCATAATTTAAGCTATTCACACTGATTGTAATATATCTCTACCCATTTAGTCCCGAAACTCCTCGGGACGGCGAATGCTCTCGGGAGGCTTCTCCCCAATCTCGGCGGTCCGAGTGTGGCATGCCGGCGTTTATACACCGGTGTGTTACGCTCAATGGCGCTGTACGGAGCTCCAGTGTGGGTCGGTGCCCTCACAAGGCCGAACGTGGCTGCGCTGCACAGAGTGCAGCGCGTCATGGCGGTGAGGGTGGTACGAGCATACCGCACTGTCTCTCATGAGGCGGCTTGCGTGCTGGCTGGGACGCCTCCCTGGGAACTGGATGCCCAGGTTCTGGCGGAGGCTTACCACCAGCGCGCGCGAGATCGATCCCGGGGAACGAGTCCGGACCGGGATCGGGTGGATAGTTGGCGACGATCTGCGCGGTCGTCCTTGTTCCATCGGTGGAGGCAAAGACTCTCTGAGCCAGTGGCCGGGTTGCGAACCGTGGAGGCTATTCGCCCGCTCCTCATGGAGTGGGTGGACCGCCGACACGGATCCTTGACCTTCCGGCTGGTGCAGATCCTCTCGGGGCATGGTTGCTTCGGGAGGTATTTGTGCCACATAGTCGGGAGAGAGCCGACAGCGACGTGTCACCACTGCAGTCGCGTGGAAGACACCGCTGACCACACCTTGATGGAATGTCCAGCGTGGATATCCGAGCGTAGCCAACTCATCCGCGTGGTTGGCGCAGACCTTTCGTTGCCGGCAGTGGTCCAGGCCATGGTCGGCAGCGAGAGGGCATGGCAGGCGGTGGCCGACTTCAGCGAGAGAGTCATCTTGCAGAAGGAGGCTGCTGAACGAGTGAGGGAAGACGACCCCTCCTCGGCGCCGCTGCGCCGACGAAGGCTGGGTCGAAGGCAGCGGGCTTATGCTCGCGACCTGCCTCCCCAGTGAGGAAGCCTCTGGGCGTCGGTGGGGAACCGGCGTCCGGGTAACATAGGCTAGAGGAAGAGCGGCGTGTTTGGCGTTCCCGGCACGCTGCTCTTGAGTCGGAGGGGTGGTGTGGTCAGCCACTGATACCCCTGCCGATGGCGGAGTCCCTTTCGGGACTCGTGCGTAGTGAGCGGAAGTATGGCTTGCCGTTCCCGCTCACTAGTCTACGCACAGCGCAGAGAACGTCGAGGTGGTTTAGTGGGTGGAAATCCCACATGCCCCTGTCGCGTTTCCCCCGCGGCAGGAAGTCTTTAAAAGATTCCCCTCGTAGAGAAAAAAAAAAAAAAAAAAATAATATATATATCTCTACCCATATCTTCTAAAACTAAAGCACTACTTACTTCGTGCATGAATGCATCACAAATAAAACTGCCGAGACTGCATTCTCCACAATTACACCTTGAGGACAGGTGGACTTTTGAGATTCCAATCAATTCAGTTGCTTGTTCAGTTATAACTGGCAGATACTCATTAATTTTTTTTAAGACGTCAGGAGCTGGCGTGAAATATGTACATGTAATGGATTTATTATTTTTGGTCATTTAATAACTTATTCATAACAAATAAGTATGTTACCTGGAACAACATTGTTGCCTATATAATGAGGATCTCCAACCCAACTAATAAGATCTCCGTTATCAGTAAAATTAAGTTTAATTTCTCCTAAAAATGCTGTATGAGCTCCAGCTTGAACGATCAATACCTAAAAGAATTTCCTACTTTCAAATAATATGATTGTTTTTATACCTTAGAAACTCCATAAGAATACTTTTAGACATACTTCAGTAAAACTCTCTTATAACAATATATTTTTAACATAGATTAATGAAAGAAATAATTTAAAACTTCTTTAAATATGAACATGTTTTCTTACAGATCTCGTTGCCTGTTCTACAACAACGGGATAAGGTCCCAATGGAGTCCAAGTAGAGCCCTCTGGAGGGTCACTGTTTGATAGAAGTGTATGACTGTGACCTCCGACAATTATGTCGATATGGGGACCAGCATTAAGGGCTATTTTACTGAAAACAGTACAAATTTGTTTAAATAAGCTTGACCAGTGGCGGCTGTACCTTAAGTGCACTCGTGCGCTGAACCACCAATTCAAAAGATTTAAAAATTACAAAATATTACTTCATCATTATTTTTAAATTAACATTTTAATATTTATTTTTTAAATATACAAAAACGTATAAACAATTAAATTTCCTAATTATGGTCAAAAAGTTTGAGCGCTTTACTAAACTCATGTCGTGCGCTTCGGCGAGTGCACGAGGACTGCCAATACATCTTGTATGAGATACGAATTAATACGCCTGGCGCGTGAAACAAAAGATAGTTCATAGAAATGTACCGAGTAATGAGTCGGTTCTCGAGCGCCGCACGAGCGACCGAAGATTACCGAGAGCACCCGATGTATGACGAATTGAGCCGTTTTTGACATTTCGTTATGTTTTGTTGCATTTTAGTAAAGTGCACCACCAGTTCTATTACCCACCAGCCGCCACTGAGCTTGACTATACTTTAATACAACAAAAATATTTAAATAATCGTATTTTGCATTCATTGTACCGATCTATATCTAATCCACAGTGTGATAGAACTACAATGATATTTATTCCTTGCTCGTGTAACTTTTCAGCTTCTCGTCTAACAGCTTCAATTTCATCCGTAAACTTTAAATTTCCTGTACTTGCTAGTTCCTGAAAAATTAATTTTTCAGTAAAAAATTTCAAGTTTAATCCATTGCAAAATAACTTACGTCAGTACTTGATATTATAACACCTATTATTCCAATCTTCCGACCTCCCTTTTCGACTACAATACTAGGCTTGTACAGTCCTTGTATCGTTGGTTCATCATCGTCGATAATATTTGCGGTAACAACTTGAGATTTGAGATGTTGAAGATATGGAACGAGACCTTCAATACCATTATCAAACTCATGATTTCCTAATACCTGTGAAGAAAGATATTCGGTTGATATTATCTTTAGACAAAATTCGCAAAATATCACATATCCATATAATCTTATAAAACTAAATTCATTTTATTAAGAATGTTCCTCTGGCAATAAAAATTTTAATATAAAATATTGCTACTATAAAACAAAGAAAGAAAATGTTCGATTTGTGAAGAGAATATTTATTAAATATATTTGTTAACTTACTAACATGTGCATCATGATGGATCATATTCATAAAATCCTGAGTGACGTTCCATCTCAATAAGTTATACCAGATAGTTCCTTGAAATGAGTCGCCTCCGTTTAATACTAAGGAGTCTGGATTCCTCTCAAGTCCATCTCTAATAAGGGTCGCGAGGCGAGCGAAGCCTCCGATACAAGGAGCTGCCGACGGATTGCACACAGATCCAGACGGACTAGTTTCTACGAATCTGATAACATGTAATATTATCATAAGTATATTAAAATTCGTGCAGAAGCAGTAATTATAGATTAGAAATAGAATAGGTAATATAAAAATGATATTTTCAAACGTTTTGTTTAATATATAATATTGGGTATAAAGGTGTTATTTATACGATTTAGAATGTTTTCGCATAAAAATTTGTTCTAGGGCTTCGTATCCACTTTTAGCTATTTTGATGTAAGTATACGGATGTGTTTGTGGATTCCGTTGTCTACCGATTATATTGACAAAGTTATACATATTTACTTTAACATTAAAATACATTCTTATAAATACTAGTCATAATTATTTCTATAAGTAAAACGAAATTTTATAGTTTTTAAAAGGAAAATAAAACTTTCTTTTTCCTATTACGAATCTATGGCTTCATTCGTACTGATATTGTACAATATTTTACCAATGTCAACATTTTAATGAATTGATTGAGCGATTATTGCGTCCACGATTGTAATATGACAACCGTCGAAGAATATAGTACGTTCAAGAAATAAATAGAAGCCTATTTATTGTATAAGAAGATTTGAAGTTGAATTTTGAATTATGATGGAATGTACTGAAATAAGTGACGCCACTGATGTTAGCAATGCTGACAGCTCTTTCTTTAGAAAATAATAAATTGTAATTGGTATGGTGTATTCATTGAGAACACATTGTTAACTGAAACTCTTTCAGTTGGAATTTAAATCTTTATTGTGAAGTCTGCGTTATTATTCCTAAACAAATCATAAGAAATGGATTACAGAAATAGTCCGAACATTACTCAGACATACATACATATGTGTATTAAGATCGTTTTCGATAATTATGTTATCACGCGTGTTATTCGTATCATTATAATGTTATTAATATGATTGTGATCTTTTTAATTAACAATTTTTTATAATAATAATATATATTTTTTAATAAAACATGTGTTTATGAGCCATTTAGTTTCTGTAACATAGCAATAAGCAATAAAGACTAACCATCAAATAAAATAGTCTGACAAAATAGTTTATTAACTATACAGTCATTTGTAAAAAGTTTTAAATATATACATAAACTTTAAAATTTTATATAACAACCGCGAGTTAATAGTAAGAACATTGTTTCATTTAGGAACAACATTACCTTGCATGAAAGTCGTTATAATGAATAATGTTTAACTCGTAAAACTTTTCACTACGTACACAAACAGCACACAACAACAATACACACAGAGCGTACATTTTAATAGAAAATATTAAATGTATTAACACTTTAAGAGGCCACGATCTTATCTAGATAAGATTGTATTATTATAAATGATAAATCATTTAACATAGTTCAAGACATAAATATATTATTAAGAAAAAAATACATATGTTCAAACAAAAGAAGTATGTAACCTGTTGATCCTAATCAAATTGTAAAAGAGAATTGAGGAAATGTCTCTGCTTTACTTTATTCGGGCCATATAATGCTATTGACGACCGGTTTTGAAAATTAAAAACTAGATATTTTATAATACAAATATTTATTCACAATTCTTCGACAAGTCACGTGTTGTGTTATATCACTGCACAGATATTATTATAATTAAAATTACGGTATTTGGCTAAGTATACCCTTCAATGTTCAAGCACTACTCATTCATACAAATGATTGGATGAGAATGTATGGAATCTTGGTACGGCCGCCTTTTACTTAGAGTAGAAACATTCTTAAAACAACTGACTTTAACACTTCTAATATTTATTAATGGTAAAGGGGACAAAAGAACAAACAACCTTCGTAATTGGAAGTAGTTGAGGTGACGGGAACGATGGAAAGATGCTAATGGTCCAATAACCATCCTGTCGAGAGTATTGCACTGTGTTTGAACACAAGGTGGTATGGAAGAGCCCCAGTTGAAGCTGCAGGTCGAATACTCTCATCCCCTCAAAGCAGGACTAGGTTGATGAAAGACAGAACGTTATTGCACATATCAACATCAACAGGAAAAGGAAAGGGCTATGAGCTATCTCACTCATCGGACGAAGCGCAGCTAATCAAAACAGGCCCGGTCGAACCAGCCCGTGTTAGAAATAAAATTATATTTAATACATTAAATCAGAATAATTCATATAATTATAATAAAAGTACTTCCAAATAATTCAAATATTCATATAAATGATTTTTTTATATTTTTTTACCATCGTTTGTAATGTGTATAATAGTTACCTACTTTTCACATAATAAAGTAGCCACTAACAGTATATATAAATTTAATTGACATAAGAAAATATGTGGCAACTCGTACTCCAAGATTCCAGAGCCCCAGAACTTACTTATTAACTTATAGACAAAACATACAATATATGTAATGGGTTAGTAAAGGTATACATATGTATCTGCTAGCTAATATCAACGGTTAATTTTCGGGTACGAGGTGCAACAGGTAAGTTTAAAAAAATTGTACTCACTTCACTTATAGTCTGAGGTCTCATTATTACTTCTGTTCTAGGAAATATTATAAATAATTGCAAATTAATACGGCCACACAACTTCTGTTGCTAGAATTTTTTGCCAGGCACTTTAAATATCGATGGCGAAAAATCACAATCTTGCTAACAGTCTGAATTTTAAATTTCAACTTTAATAATCAATTGGTTGTTATTTAAATATATTTTCTGAGTTGCCAGACCAATTCTACGGGCCAAATATCAATCATCCATCCATTCACCCATCAATCTTGCATGGATAACTGGCTTTTAATACTGTTTCATAAAATTATCATGTAATTTGTCGAAACGCCTGCTGAATAATTCTACAATCTTAAGAAATTTCTGATATTTTCCTGACGAGTATATTTTTTTTAATAATATTAATGTATTTAATGGATATCGTTTCAACTTTTTGACATAAAAGCGAAAACTGATTCTGAATACGAAAACCCTGTCTAAGACAATTTCTATCTTATATTATATTAGCAAATTTACAAAATGAAGAAAATAACATTATTTCATACAATTGGCTTTTAAGGGGATGTTTCATTTTAATGAACGCTGCTTTTTATATCAGTATACGCAAATAACTAAATTTAGTTCTAATCAATTATATATATCGGATTTATTACACATTTCGTTGTTTTTTAAAGAGCCTCGCTGACGTAACAAATGTCACTTCTTCTAGTACGTTCCATGATATTTTAAAATGAAACTTCAATTGTCCTTAATGCTCCTGTATTTCTCGAAGGTTCTTCATTATCACATACTTCAATGATACGCACTCACTGAACTCTGAATTCTCAACTCTCAACTCTGCCGTCGTGCGTCCAGACGTCATATTTATAACAAGATTTAAACATAGTTCTACTCTCCTTTTAAACAACCTTTGATTTTCGTTTTACTTTTAACAATAATCATAATGAGGTTTAATAAGAATTGATGACAGCCCCAAATTATGTCGCATCCGTTATTAAAGCTGGTAGCGCCGATATATACAAGCGAATTCGTCTAACTAAAATGATTTTGTAAATACAAATAAAACAATATTAATAGATATATCATTTCATATTTCTCCATACTTTTTTTAATATCGTTAGTTCTATCTTTGCTACCTTTTTTGTCCAATTAAAAAATACTATAAATATTAATGTTTATAACATATAAATAAAGCAGGCAGTAAGCGTAAAGTAAATATAAATTTCTTGTTTGCTTAGATGTTGTTTAAAGATTAAACTTTTTCGGAGAAAAACTGCTATGATGAATTTGATTTTTAAACGACTTCAAATAGATTATCAATTTGCCTCTTTTTTATGTTTATTACCTTATAATTTTCGATGGGTGAAGCGATTTTAAAGATTTTTTTATTTGAAAGCTGATGCTTTCATTCGTCCCTATTAAAATTTGATCCAGTTCTGACAACGGCAACCATGAGAAAACCATTTAAGTCTAATATTCGCATTAAGTGTGTGGATGACAAATGAATGAGTAACTTTAACAAACGCCGATTCCTATTTATTTATTTGTACGGTTAGACTTCACAAATAATCCCATGATGATTACAATAAAACCTGATTATGAAATCCTAAGAAAATTGAGGAAAATCCTTAAAATGTGTAGGCACACATAATATTACACATTAAGGATGGCATTAGATAAGGTGTTTATTTTCAAAAGACAGATTTGATAATCTTTTTATTCACAGACTTCAGAAGTGGAGGAGATTTACAATAACTCGAAATCTTTTTTTATGTATGTTCCCGCTTTAAAATAAATATATATTTTTTATCAAAATGATTGCATCTTTCATGTGTTCTTAATGTCACCAAACCAGGTTTTTATAATGGTATCTCTTAAAATGTAAGGAACTAAAAAAATGAATATCTAAAAATTAAGGAAATCAGTTCTTTTTAAATAAATGCCCATATAGGAAAGTCTCTCTTCACTTTTAACGAATAACTATCGAAGAAATTGTGCTGTTTTATCATATGAGATGTAAATACGGAAGGTCTCCCCATCCCCTCTCCATCCTGAAACAGCTACTCTTTCTTCTTCTACCTGGCAATTTCCCAGCCTTAGCCAGCGTCTGCCTTACATGTTGTGAATATTTTTGGCTTATTGTTTTTACGACAGGCTGCCTGCCTGACATTCACCCTTTTTTGGGAATGCATTAGTTATGTCTAAATACTCTTAGAAAATACATATGACTCGGAAAAATCACATTGGTACTTGCCAGGGGCAGGATGGAACCCGCGCCGTCGTGTATGAGAGGCGGACCTTTTAACCAACAGGCCACCACTGACTTCGACAAAAGCAAGAAAAAAAAATTAAAAAACAACGACATCAAAGAAAACAATATATAAACTCAGAAATATGTAGGTAAGTGTACTATTTTTATCTCACAGCTTTGTCCTTGAAATACATGCTATGACTTAATTATATTATTTTATATCAATAAACATTAGTATTTACTTATACCTAACACAAGACTTGTTTCTGTATTTATAAATTGATTATTCAAAAGATGACATTCAATGTATTTCGATATTGAAACATGTCTATATAGATTTTTAAATAACATGTAGTATAATGAAATCTAGATGTTCCTGAGTAAACATTGAAGTAAAACTATTATTATTCGGATTATTAGTATTTCGTCATCTCGTCTGTCCGTGATCACAGTTGCTGCAAAGTAATCGAAACGTCGGGAGTACATAAATATGTTGTTAAAAATAGGACTCGAAGTAAATCCGAAAACTATAAGTTTTACTTCAACATGAAATATCTGAACTTATAACAGTAATATGATACGTTGTACTTAAATTAAAAAAGAAAAAATGATCATAAAAATTTGAAAATACAATACATTGCTTACTTATAAAATAATTCCCTTAATAATTAATTAAACAACTTAAAACGTATTAAAATCATTACCATATCATTTTTCAGACATAATCTTATCTCAGACACATTGCAATAACATTAATTGTGCAAGAATTATCTAATCTAAGTTAAAATAATCATTGGTATTACAAGTTAATATACATTTCAATAATCCATTAACAATATTATCTTCGACCCAAATCTTTTATTATTTTACAAATTTTCCAATGTTTGATTAAATTATTTTTATATTTTTAATAATATTACTGTAAAGAGCATTATTATATAAAATAAAATCTAATGAGTTCAGGTTATTTTCATAATAAGGAAGGAAAGAACAAAACTAGACAAACGATAAAATTTGAGTCAATATTTTATAAATCACCTATGTAATCTTATAAGATTTTTAATATTAGAAAGATCTATTGTCATTTTAATAATATCGTGATTAGATTACTGTCAGCAAAATACTCAAATAAATAAAATAAATAGAAAACTTCTCATCACAAATATCACATAAAATATTTGTAAGCTTTCTTAATTAAGATGATACATGAAAAGCGATCTATTAAGTATTAAATACAGTTTAATTTTGTATGACACGATGAAAGCTGTATAAAAACAGTGTGGTTCTCATTGTGTTCTTTGAAGCCCTTTGTTTCAGCTTAAGCCACGTTAATTAATAGTAGATAGTTTGTGTAAAGACATTAATAAAATAAATAAATATCACATATTAAGTAGTATAAGTCTAATATATAAGCAATTTTAATAGTACTTAAATTTCTAAATGTATATACTACTATATTAAATGATAATTTAAAATAAATAGCTTTACATTTATGAGAAAATGTATAAATATTGTTGATATAAACGACACTAAA